TCAGGGTCTCTTGAAGCACATCGCCGTCCAAGCCCAATATGAGGCTGTTGCGTACAAACAACGCAAAGATGTGTGCAAACCTAGTGGGCTGGTCGATGTTACCTTAAGTACAACCTTCCTTAGGAATCCCACTTTCCAGACACCTCACTTCCCATCTGCCACCTCCCACTTCGAATTGGTCCTCGTTGGGCGCACCCTCACGAAGGATAGACTGCGCGCATCGGGGTGGGCTGCAGACTCGTTGCGCCGGTTTCGTGGAAAAACCAAAGAAACACTGGCTCATTTGATCTTTCAATGCTCGGAATATCATTCTTGGACCTCTCGGCCGTTATTGCGTGAATTTGGGGCAAACTTCTCCCTGGCCACCAAGGTTGAAGATACTGCCGTTGCTCCTTTTCATGAGTATGCGCCTCTCCAGGAATTCTGGACAGATGGATCTTTAATCTGGCAGATTGTGTCATTCGGGGCCGGTGTATTACCCAACACTTAGTAGCTATGTACCTGAACTCTGGGCGGTCTGGGTCGCCTTCGCTACTTGCAGTGGGCCGGTTTGTATTTATACAGACAACAAAGTTGTTTTTTGAGCATTGCAGTTTTCTGTCCGAAAAAGGCATGTACAGTTCGAAGTGGAAATGCACATCCTGGTGGGAATCGCATTCATTCTGTGTGGGTGCAACGTCGTGCGCTTCATCCTCGGCCGCTCACGGTTGTATGGATACCTGCACATCAGATTGAGCAGGTGGCTGATGCAGACATCACTGAAGAGCAGGCGCAGAAGTGTGGCACCACCAAGCGCCATGTCATTCTCAACCGAAAAGCTGATCATGCTGCCAAAACACAGGCCCTGGCAGCTTCGCCTGTAAGGCCTGAGGTGCAGCACGTAGTGCAAGCTGCTGTTGGGCTACATCAGGAATGGCTCACAAAGCTGCATTGCCATCTTGACACGTCAGCAGTTGGCATCCACCACGATGATCAGTTGGCCCAAGTAGACAAAAACGGGGGTTCTGAACATTTATCCAGGGAGAATGCGCCCAAATTCTTCCCCGAATGGCCGTGGGGTGCTTCGGCTCATGCATACAAGTGGCTACCCAAGATCCCACATCAGGTTGACATGCCTAAACGTTGGCGGCATTCAGAGAAAAACTGGAAAACCATTTGTGACTTTCTGCGAAGCCTGCGTTGGAAGATACACAAAGATGACAGCGCTGCCTTCTGTGAGTTTGCTCTAGCTTTCCACACACAGCTGGATACCGCCTAGAGGATCATTCCAGCCTTTTGATGCATGATGTTTCTATGCAAATCCGACAATGTCTCCAGTGGCTTGCAAAAAATCCGTGTTGCCAGCCGCATCCTGGGGAAATGCAACCTGGTTTTGCGAAGTCGACCGGGAAGGTCCTTTGCCAAGGCGCCATTGTTGGGGCCTCGTTTCACATGCCCGATGATTGTTTGTTTTCCTTGGCACTTGCACTACGAGCAGGCGCCGGTCGCACGACTGAGTCGTGGAAGATCCCATTTGATGTCTCGGAGTCCTGACCCTTGGGGTTTGAGATTACTCATTGTATAGCGTTTCTGTGCATATGTCGCCTGCGTGACGCATATGCCGTTGCCACGTCTCACTGGACTGCGCGCAACGAGAGGGTGAGTATGGTATGGTGGTATGCAGGTATGTGTATATATATAGTATGCGGTATGTAGGTATGCATACATGTGTGCATGCATGCTACGTCAAGTTGTGTTATGTTATGCATAATGCAATGCATTGCAATGAAACGTGATGCAACGCAATGCAATTAATGTAACACAATGCCAATGCAATGTAGTGCAATGTGTTGTGATGCAACTCCATGCAATGCAAGGCAATGTAGGGTATAGTGTTTGTTGTTCCCGTTTTGGTGTGTTTTGTTCCGGCGGCGCTTCCTTTTCCCGGAATGGTTTTTCCTGTTCCCGCGAGGTTCCCTAGGGTGTTCCAGCAATTCCGTGAAGGTGGTTTTTTGTTCCGACAATCCTGTGTGCAGGTTGGTTGCTGGCGGTTGGTTGATATGGCCAGCGAGGAAACAGTTGCGGGGCGGACCCACAAAGCACGACGAATCTCGCAATGACAGCCATGCATCCAGGTAGTGTGCGACGGTATGTAAACCAGGCCAGCGATGAAAACACTTGCCGGACGGAGCATGGTGGAGCCATGCTTTTACCACCAGGTATTTGCTGGAATTCTGCAGCCGCAGCCCCTTTGACCGCAGCGCAATGGAGAAGACATGACAGTGTGACTTCGCCCAGCCAGAAAGACTCCACACAAAGACGGGAACTCTGGGAAGTGTAGCGTTAGCGATATTTACAGCCTTCGGCATGCCGCCGGCCACCAGCTCGAGCCCGCATTGGCAGGCAGCCTAATGATGCTTATTAACAGTCGTAGATTGAAACCGACCGGGGCAGGGCAGGCTGTCGAAACATCCGCGCGGAGAGACAAACCGTAGATTGAAACCAATGGAAACCAACACAAGCCAGACGAAGCAAGACAATCCACAAAGCCGGTACTTGAAAATGAGTCTTCTTCCAAACTACTTGGCCTCTTGCATGTTTTCCTTGTCAGATCTTTTTTTCGACCGTCTTGAGGAATTGCGAGTCGCACAAGATATTCTTTTTCACATACAGAAGGCTTCAAAGCGACCGAAGAATGTCTTGATCTGGCATGATTTGTCGTTTTTTCTCCAAACCGTTCGAAATGAAAGACCCAGAATGACATCGAACAACAATACCCTGCTCAATCGTACTTGTTGGTGCATTGGAGTTGCACATTTGGCTGGGTGAGGTTGTTGATGTTTAGTTCAAGGTTGTTTGACCATGAAATGGAACGAATCCGAATCAGAGGTTGTCTATTCTGATCCAGCGATCCGAACCGGCATGTCTCAGTCGAATCACCTAAGAGGAACCAATTGAAACCAACACGAGCAATGCGAACCAAGACTATCCACAAAACATGACCTTGAAAACGATTCTTCTTCCAAACTACTTGGCCGTTTGCATGTTTTCCTTTTCAGATCTTTTGTCCGACCGTCTCGAGGGATTGCGACGCGCACCAGATATTCTTTTTCACACACAGAAGGCTTCAAAGCGACCGAAGAATTTCTAGATCTGGCATGATTTGTCGTTTTTTCTCCAAACCGTTTGAAATGAAAGACCCAGAATGACATCGAACAACCGAACAACAATACCCTGCTCAATCAGACTTGTGGGCGCATTGGAGTTGCACATTTTACTGGGAGAGTTTGTTGATGTTGATTTCAAGCGAAGTCGTTTTACAATGAAATGGAATGAATCCGAATCAGAGGTTGTCTATTCTGATCCAGCGATCGACATGTCTCAGTCCAATGGTTGTCTATTCTGATCCAGCGATCGGCAGTGGTGGAAGTGGAAGTAGAAGTAGAAGTAGACGTCACAAGCACACAGCACACAATCTCACCCGAAGCATTCCGGAACAGAAAACACAATTCTACTTTGCTTTGCTTGTCGCAAACAAGGCGAGAACACCAGACACGACCAAACACCCTTACGGGAACGGAAAACACTGCTGAACACAAAATACTCTTCCGGGAACGTAAAACAAGAAATGTTACCAAACCCTATTGGCAGGAACAGAAAACACCCACGGGAACGAAAGACGCCAAAATGGGAACAGAAAACCCACAGCCTGTATCGCAATGCAAGTTAATGTAACGCAATGTAATGCAACGCAATGTAATGTAACGCAAGGCAAGGCAATGTAACACAGTGCAGTGTAATGTAATGTAAGGTAAGGCAATGTAATGCAAGGTTATGTAATGCGATCCAATGTATATAATGGAATGTACTGTAACGCAATGTAATGCAACGCAATTCGATGCAATGCAATGTCTGTGGTGTGGACTTGGGACCTGCCTGCGAAGAAATTATGTTCAGCCCGCAGAGCCACGATTGAACTATTCATCACTGATCCGAACTTCACCTTGTCACGAAAGGTAGCCTGGTAAGGATTACCTTGAGTTTGGTTTGCGAAGCAAAGGGACTGGCTTGAGAGCTTGCTCGGGACTAAAGATTGGTAGATCAATGTCTAACACCCCCACCCCCCCTCCCATGTGATGATTCATTGATAAATCAATTGATTCGACCCCCCCCTCCCCCTCCCCTCCCCGTCCCCTCCCTGTCCCCTCCCCTCCCCTCGTCGCCAGCACTACTAGCATTCTGGACATAAGGTGAAGTCATGCGCTTAGCAGTCACAGCAGTACGACGCTGGCCATGAGGTTGCGCAATACAGCACGAACCCTGCGCAATGAGGTCGCGCAAATCGGCTTCGATGCCGCGCGCACCCTGCAGCCTGACACAGCCCGTACTGCGTTCACAGACCATATTGCTCGACGCCAACGAGCATCGATGCAACACAGCCTCTCTGCAAAGCCCTGTGGAGAAACCCCTCGTGCGCAGAGCCGTGTGGCGCAATCTGACCGCAACGGTCTTCCTCTTGAGCCTTCTTGTGCTCTCTGGCTTTGTTGGTTTCAGCCATGATTGACCAAGGGGCACGTTCCTGAAACACCGGAGACAGTCCCTCACCAGAAAAGGTCCCAACAGCTACCCGGTCCGTCTCTACCTTTCGTGTTTCCCCGCTCAAGTGAAATAGAGTCTGTCAAGAGTAGTTTCTGCGAATGGATGAAATGTTCGAGTGCAATGTGAATGACGCTACTGTATGATGAGTACTGTATGTGCACAACATGCAGCAAAGATCGGCACAGGAAGTTCCCTCTGCACGATTGCGGTGAAACAGTGAAAGTATTAGGTCCTCATGCTCCCACTGCCGTCACCTGCAATGGGTGCATAGTTCACCGATTCTCATGTGAAAGCCGCTTCCACGTGCATATGTATGTGCCGGTAGCATAAAGGTCTAGGGCCTCTAGTGGGCATTTGGGACAGGATTTTGTGTATGCAAGACGTGGTTTGCGTGGTTCCCATGCTTGGAAGTGTTGCTTCAGGACCTTCTGTCCACTGAACGCATCTATCAGCTGGTCCAGAGGTACACAGACTTATCAAGGCTCAGACTCTCTCACCCTGTCAGGTACATGCCGAGACTTTTGTCTAACGTGCTCCTTTGGTTACAATTTCAGCTTTGTTGGTGAGATTGGCCTGCTTTCAAGAAGCGAGCAAAGCACAGCTTGCCGTTTCAAAACACACGCAGGCTGTTCTTCGAAGACTTCTCGAAGATCGCTCTGGGAGAAGTGGAGCCCAGGTTCAACACAGAGATCAGTCAAGTGGCATGGCTAAGGGGTCAAGCGATTGGTGCGAGTGAACTCAGTTTTGGAAAATGCTGGTCAGTTGGAAGCATCGATCATAAGGTTCGCTTACCTGAAGAAAGCAGCACTTAGTTATTAGTTATTAGTAGTAATTAGCGTCCAGCTGTTTATGGACAGGTTGTTTGCTGCATCCAATGTAGTCCAGTTTTGTTCAATATGGTTGACACACACCCACGTTCAAACAGTTGAGTGTGTTTGCAGGCTGGCCAGTATCATTGAACATTGTCGTTCGCAAACGTTCTACAAAGCTTGTTTTGGGTCTCGTATCGCCAAGGTGATTGATCGTACGTGTGCAGACCCGCAAGATCGTCAAATCCTAAAGATGTTCCTGGGTCTTTTGTGAGTTGTTTCTGTTCTTCCGCCAGGCATGATACAATGTTCAATGCCCAAAATCCACAAATAAGGTTCCTCACCTTCAACCACAGCATTCTTTTGACGAACTTCTTCAAGGACGTGCGAGCTCATCCTTGATAGAGTCACATGAAATAGCCCCAAAGAGGTTTCTGCTGCTCATGTGTTTGGTGTCAATGCCATTGCCAGACCCTGCGTTTAAGGCTCTTTATGGGCATTCTAATGTACTTGTAACGTTCTTCTATGTGAACATCATCAAAAGGCACTTGATTGAGGGAAATATGTAAACTTAGAAAACTGATGATGCAGAAACTGCGAGTCAATTCGTAATTTTGCATCAGCGAAATGTTTGTGGAGGAAGCCTATCAGAGGCGCATTGCTGCTGCTGCTTCTGCTGTTTCTCCTCCTGGTGCTGCTGCTTTGCTGCTGCTCGTCTGCTGGAAGCATGCTTACGGATCACTTCGGCAATGTCCTTGTAGACTTTGGTCGCAGTGTGTTCATACACAGCTTTGATTATTTGTACTTTGTCAACCGCTCCTCGCCTTTTACAACTGCATACTGGTTTCTACTGGCTTTCACGCTTCCTTCTTGGGGTGTTCATCATTGACAACAGTCATGACATTCAGTTTACGGGTGGATCAGGGGGAATGGCGTTTGGTTGGAGCATCAATGTCAACAGTTCATGTTCAATTCATGAACTTCAATGTGCATCGGTGTTTCATGAACCACGAAGGTTCCGAAGATATGCTGATAGCAATTGGAAACTGTCCATCAAAATGTCCATGAAAACATATTGTCCTCCCATTGCTGCAGGATAGGTTTGATTTGATTTGTTCGGTCCTTGAAAGAACTGATATGCCGTTGTAGCAAAAATTTGGAAAACGAAATGCGTGGACCCTCTCGTGGTTTTGACCCCTCGAAAACAATCCAGGAGTAAGACTGTGAATCAAATACTTGCCAGGTGTCTAGCCAGGCTTCAAAAACGTTGCAGTAAGTTCCTTGCTGAAAATGGAACAAGGCACTAAAGGAGAAGCAAAATACAGTAGCAAAAAAATGTGAAACATGGAAATCAACAAAAGAAGACCTGTAGTTGTCGGCTTTTTGGTGTCTTTCCAAAAGTGTCCAAAGTTTCTTCGTGACTCCAGTTGTTTATTGTTTTTCTTTGGTGGTTTTGCTGTGGTGTCAAAGGCTGATTGTCCGGCACCATTGGGCATGTAAGTCGGGGAGGCGATTGTTTTCTGTATGAACTAAGCAAAGAGAACTCTGACAGCATCCAGGAGCCAACTCCAGGTGCGCTCTCATTCCGTTTGGACCCGGCCATCGCCCTCAAAGACCGCCCAACCTCTTTGTACCCCGACGCTTGGCTAAAAGCGATGGAGAAGTTCGCTCCAAGCTACTTAAGCGTTTAGTAACTCGGCGCAGGATAGCTCACGCTTCTTCAACCAAGCTCCCCCCGCCTGAGGTGGGGGGGAGCTTCCTTGAAGAAGCGCTCGCACGATTTGGTTCCTAGATTTGGGTTACTTACTGACACTCTAGAGACTCCTCTCTCACGTAAATGAAGAGGATGCAGGTAAAGAGGTCAGTGATCAGCAACAAGACAGGCTTTTATGCTGTTTTCTGGGAGTACAATAGTAGTTTTTGAGTCTTGAATTCAGTTCTCCGTCAAGCAAGGAGATACCGTATGGTTTGGATCTCAGCCACAGACTGACGTTGGTTTTCAGCATAGAGCCTGCAGCATGTTCAAGAAAGATTCGGCACAAGTTCTGGTGTGCCTCACTCATTGCTTAAAGCGCACCGGAACGCAAGGAGTCAAACAAGAAATAGGTGCCTCTTGAGCGTCTTGCCTCGCTACTGTCCAAGGCATCTATTTGATTTGCGGCCGCGATTTCATGGGCTTCCATACTCGCTTTCGAGATGTCTCGCGCGGCGGCATCAGGTTGGGCAAATAAGATTAAAAGAAAACCAATCGCCTCAAGACCTTTGCTCAAAAAAGGGACAGTAGGGCGCTCAAGACGAAGCAGAGAAGCAGTTCTGACGAAGTGGAGCAAGTTGCGCTGGACAGGCTTGTGCTCTCCCGAGACAAGAACACCTACGAACGAAACTTTGCTACTCTCTTTGAGGACACTGTGAAACTTCAGAGACCACTTGCAACTGAAATTCCATCTACAGTAGAATTGTCTACATTCATCTACATTCAGGAACTTGGAATCAGGAATTGTCGACCGAAGGCTCAGAGAGGCAGAGCAAGTCTCCTATCTCCAAGCTGACGATGGCTCAGGGTCCTGAAGATTATGTTTGGTTCAAAAGCCGAGGTCTAGTCTTTTTGGTCTCAATTGTCAGAAACACACAAACCGTGCCATAGTCAGAGCATAGAACCACCACAAGAAATGAAACCTTTCCTCTCGTCGGTTCCAGGTTAAGCAAGAAGCCACTGTTTGAATTTGCTTGGAATCTTCACGATTCATTCAGATCTACGTCAATTCGATAGAGATCAGCAGAGGAGCAGAACCTAGAGCTGTCAACTGTCAAGTGGGCCAGGAGTGCTACAACTTGGCGTTTACGCAGCAGTACAAGAACAAGGACTGCTTGGGCATTGAGGTAGTGGTTGATCGAAGGTTGCTGGAACCTATCTGACCTATCTTGAGCTTGATTATGTTTCTTGTGTTCTGTCCACTGATTCGATTTTGAGTAGCTGTGACAATTAGTTGCTCATTGTGCAGACCTTCGACCTTTGCCCGCGATGTTGCACGGGATAGGTCTTTGGGGAATTGTGTGCAGCACATGGCAGAAGACGGTTGTTTGAGACAGAAGATCTACAGTTTACAACGAGTACTTTGGGAGGAAGAGTAAGTGCGACATTCCTCACGTCAAGTCTCGACCACTAAATATATTGATAATACACAATTGGAACAATCTGTGCAGACTATCTTGCTCCTAGTCTTTTGTGATTTCTTCTTCAAGTTGAGTTGGATAAGGCATGCACACGCCACATGCAGCATATTGCAAAATCTTCTTTGCCGGTCAGTCTGAGTGAGTAGCAGGACATCCCTGAAGGCATGACTGCGTCCAATGGGTTGCGGTTGCAGTTTGCGCATTCCTTTGGACGCCCAGGATTGAGAGTGCTCTGCAAGCCCTCGAACCAGCCACCCAACTGTCCGAACAAAGTCAGAACAGTCGGCCCCTACTTCATATTGATGACTCGTGCAGGGCATTGAGAATTTGAGACTGTCAAACCACTTCAAAGCCTGACAATCAAACCCCGACTGGGACAGGTGGATCGAAAGGCGTGATTTTGCCTGATCGCTCCTGGCCAAACAGCAACGGCGGAAACGTGGTTGCGGGTGCATCGATCCAGGGGCCTTTGGGAATGCGGTCTCTTGGCTCTCGAGGAAAGTATGCCATGCGTCAAGAAACAAGGGGGCCCTTTGGGCATCGCTACTAGTGCTCCTGGCCTTACTACTAGCAACAAGAAGCTACTAGGGGCTCCTGGCATCGCTACTAGGAACAAGGACGCTACTCAGAGCTCCAAGAAGGCTGTGTGCTTTGAGAAGGTTGCTCCTAGTAGTAAGGCCAGGAGCCCCTAATAGCGTCCTTCCTTCTAGATCAAGAACCTGTGTGATACAGCATGTGGACTTTGTTATTGCCAGCAAGGTCTTGCTTCACACGGTACTTGGATGCCTTGTTGGATTGCATGATGCCAGAGCAAAGCGGCATTTTCGCAGGTCCAACCCTTAGACGATTGATATGGCCAGGTGAAACAATGCCCCATCAAAAGAAATCAGAGCTGGTCCCCACATGTTTAGAGTTGGTCCCCTCATGTTTTTTTCTTTTGTATTGGCCTCTTCTAAATCAAAAGCATGAGATTTGTGGCTTCAGAGCCTTTCAGGACACCTGAAAGGACAACAAGAGATTCTGTTCTTCGGCCCCGACGAGAATACAGCAGGCTCGACCCCAGAGAGCGCCTGCAGCCTGTAGTGTAGTTAGTATGCCATGCTACTGTATGAAGGAGTCCTCACATGTTAGATACTGTAGTGCCTATATGGGAGTTGATCGAAAACCTCGTGTAAGGAGTTTTATATACAACAGCCTTTCAGATGTTGTTAGAACCATCCGGGAAAGATTCACGATGAGGCTCGCGAAAGTATCCTTGTTTTTCCGCGAAAGATTTATCGAAGGTCATCGCTTTCATATGTTTTCCTTTCTACCGGACTGACAAAGAAGGCAATCCTCCGGCAGAGCCGGTGGGCGGACGTGTCCCCATATGTCACAGACTAACGAACTGAAGCCTCAACACTTCCGTGCCCAGCCCTGGCAGTGCGTAAAGGATTCTCCGATTCCTGCCCCCACTGTCACAGACTAGCAACCTGAGTAGGCACAGCCCTGACAGTGAGGCAACGACCTGCAGCTGCTCTGACGGGCTGTGCAGATGTCTGCAAATGTTACGGCTTCAGCGGCTTCCCCGGGAAAGCACCAGTGACATTTCGCGAAAGATCCGCGAAAGCTTCACAAATGTGCCGCTAAAGTCCAGGTTCCCAGCTTGAGGCCCCCCAACATTCCCCAAGCTGCATCACCCTGCATCAAAGTTACAGTCCGTGCTGTCAGGTTCGCAGTTGGAAGTGTTGGTGTCCTTTGTCACTCATATAGGAACATGCAATGAATCCATCTAACTCTACTTTTTTGAGTACTTCTGTGTGTTTGTTTTACCGAGCAGTGCTTTCTTACAAACAAGGCACCGACATACATAGACATACCGGAAACTGACCAGTGCAAACTGCACTGCCACCATGCTGCTATAGCATACAAAAACCAAACAATCAGTTCTCAAAGCCGGACTTGAGCCGGACTTGACCTCCCTTGGTCAAGAGGGCATGAAATGATAGATTCAAGTCTGGACTGAGTTTGTTTACTAACACTCCAGAAAAAGCGTTGCTGCCTACAAACAATTATATAAACAAATGTGAAGGGTGCAACCAAATAGATCAGCTCGAATAGAATAGATAGACGTGGCAAAGCCAACAAAGAAAGGGACATGTATATATATATATATATGGTGGTTGATCAATATTCTTTCATCCTGGAATGGCAATTCTTCGCGGAAATAATATCGTTCGCGGATCTTTCGCGGCCTCATCGCGAAGCATGGTCCTACAACCATGTCTAGCTAACACGAGCCGGAACATGTCATAGTATCACAAAATAGGGACGGACATCTTGCAGCATGACCTCAGTAGAAGGTTGAACGGTTCCACAGCTATTCAAGGTCACTTGCAGCATCTGTGCGACAATTGCGCCAAATCACGAAAGCTAGCACCAGCTAGCTGGAGTTGTCCTTGCTTTAACAAGTGAGGGGCTGGAATCCTCGGGATCGCCGCATCACGTGAAAATTTCATATGTAGGGGGGG